ACAACACACCAACTACATGGCAGAACAGACTTCAAATTTAGTTTAAGTCTGTACTCTATGAACCCTTTCTTTGAATTAAAACAAAAGTATATATATATGCACCACAATTTTCTTCTTAATCAGGTCACACCCCCCAATCACTGGTAAATACAGGAGATAATTTCCTTTCATTCCATATCATCCCCTAGCTACTAATCTCTTTGTCTCTCCACTTCGCAGCAAAACCCAGAGTGTTCATATAAAGACACTGGCCACATTCACTTCCTCATTTCCCCTTATCCTTCCAAAGTAGTCTTCCTATTAAAGAAAAGAGGAATTGGCTACGGACAATGTCACTTATGGCTCCATATTGCTAATCCCATGGCCAATTAACTGTCCTTATATTACTCAAGGCTCAACAGGTGACTAATTCTTTTTGTTCTGGGAAACCCCTCTCCCCTATTTCTGTTGTTTTCCTTTTGTCCTTACCTACCCTTCTTCTCAACTCCTCTTCTGCCCTAAGAAACTATAAATGCTGGACTATCACTTGCTCAATCTGAGTTTTTCTTCCTTTCATAGAGTTAAATACCATCTATACACACTTTTAATCAATAGATTTTTATTGATAATTCCCTGAACTCCAAATGTCTGTCCAATTGTCCACACATCTCCTCTAGGATATCACACAGGTTATTTCAAACCTGAAAGGTCCAAAATAGAACTCTTTATTCCTCATGTTTTATCCATTTGTTAAAATTTCTGAATAAAAAATAAAGTTTAGCATATAGGAGGTACTACAGGCTACCACATAGCTAAACAGGTCATGCAATGCTGCATATAGTTGATTGGTATGCAAAATGAACAGCAAAAATCCTTAAAAGCCTTGTTAAGATATACATTTTCCTACCATATAGTCTTTCATATAGAATTTACGGCACCTATCATATGATATTCTGGCTAATCACTATGTTATTGAACTTACATACATGGAAATAAAATAAGCATAGACACAAAATATTTCAACAGTCATAAACTGGAAACTATAACATGTTTTCATTTAATGTTGTGGAAACTGGTCTCCTGCTTCTGATAGTGGAGAACTATGCCATTTGAACAAAGTATGTTATTGAGGATAACTAGAAAAGTTAAACGAACATAAAAAAAATATATCTGCTTAACAGCACTGAAGAACCAAAAAGTCAATGAAGATTTAAGAGATCAAGTTAAGGAAAACAGAAATCAGAAAGCTAAGCCTGGAATCTGGGGCTTCTGCCTGGAATTAGCAGTAACATCAATTTCAAGAAAAGTACAAGAGAGCCTAAGAAGCTTCAATCCTCAAGAGGCTTTGAGGACAAAAATTGGAGGTCAGTGCTTGCCAAGGTTAGGTAGAGGCTAATAACTCTCCATGGTTTATTAGAGATTAATGAACTCTCCATGTTGACTCAAAAGGCTATACTATAGAAAGAAGTATGAACCAGATATAATACAGAAGTCAATGGCCTGAAGCACAACGTCACATCACCTCAGTCTCTGAAAATTGATGACAGGTGATCCAGGAGTGCTAGAGCCCTAGCTGCCTACCAGAAGCAAACACAGTTCTCTCTGTAGAAAGTTATCCTAAACCTCAACATTTTTCTCTGCAGAAAAGTACTCTCTGTAGAAAGTATTCCAGACCTCAACATTTTTCTATAAAATTTTAAAAATACAACAGCTGATATCAATAAAAAATTATCAAATACTGAAGGAGACAATATAATATAAAAACAAAACAAACAAATAAAGGGGACAATGATATGACAGAAGCAGATCCACAGCAGTTCTTATGGCATGAAGACAGACTGAACCACATCCACAGCAGCTCCTATAACATGAAGATAGACTTGAAAATTATAAATAATTAATTCAAGGACCTATAAGATAAAGATTCTGTCAGATAATTGAAAAACAAAAAGAATTAAATGGAATTCTATAACTGAAAAATATAGTAACCAAAATTAAAAGCTCAATGGATAGGTTCATAAGCAGATTAGACAGAGCTGAAGAGAGAATTAGAAAAATGGTTAGAAATGAGATTAAAAGTAAACAGAACAAAAAACAGATAAGAGAAAATGCAGAAGAGAGGGCAAAAGATAGTCAGTAAAAATATCTTCTAAAATATGAATAACTGAAATCCCAGAAAGAGAGAAAAGAGAAAAAGAGCAGAACAATATTTTTAGAGATAATGGCTCAGAACTTTCCAAAACAAACCAATGGTGTTAACCGAACATTTGATAAGCCCTCCAATGGAATGTTGTCATTTAAATTTTAAACAGTTGTCTTCCTGTTATGAATTTAAAAATTAAAAAGAAAAGACAGTAAAGTACATCATAAATCAAGATGAAAAACCAAAGACAAAGAGAAATCAGACTGCAGTCTTAACAAAACAGATTATCCTTTAAAAAACAATTATATTGATAACTGAATTTTCAACATAAACAATAGAAACTAGACTATAGTGCAGAAGATAATCATTAACCAAGACAGCCATTGAAAAATTTTTTTAAGAATGAAGATGAAATAAAAACATTTTCAAAAAACAAACACCCAATACACAGATATAATTGGTTAGCTCATTTGAGCTAACCAATCATATCTATTTAGAACATCTTGAGAGCTATGTCAGGTAGCTCTCTGTAGAAAGTATTCCGACAGAGGCCATGGGCATTGACTTTTGTAGGAAAGCTCTACTTCCCAAGTCACTGAGCCGAAATATTGCCTATAAACAATTCAAATAAATTAAAAACTAATGGAGGGTAGAAGGGTAAGAAAAGAAGGAAGTAAAGAATACCTGTCTAATTATATAACATTGAAATTTTATCAAATGAAATCAGTACAATTAATTGATGTCAAAATGCTAAACATTTTTGCCTTAGAAAGTTCTATTTTAACTGCTTTTACAAATCCTTAACTACAAAGTATATCACTTATCTTTATGCATTTGGCTGCATATATACAAATCGTCAGTGGTAAAAGATAATTCTAAGGATATCACATGCTCTGAATAGTCTTATTTGTGATTTAATTTTCTTGGAAGCAAAAATTTCTCAACCATCTTTCAAGTCCTATAGTAGGCCTAATATGCGACTCTGTGCACAGAAGGCTCTCAAGAACAATTAACTTAATATAGACAAGAAAGGCAATATACTTCTTTGGCTCTATTCCTTGGCTCAATTCTGAATAAGAAAAAATTATTCTCATTTCAAGGTCAGATTCCACACATTTCAGAATTTCAGTTCTTTTGCCTTAAAAAGAAACCAATGTGATGAAGTTTATATCAAGGAAACACAATCTACAGAATGTGAGAAAATATTTGCAAACTATACATCTGACAAAGGACTAATATCTAGAATCTGTAAAGAAGTTAAACAAATCAACAAGAAAAAAACAAATAATTCCATTAAAAAGTAGGCAAAGGGATATGAACAGATACTTCTCAAAATAAGACGTACAAATGACCAACAAACATTTGGAAATTGGTCAACATCACTAGTCATTAGAGAAATGCAAATTAAACCACAGTGAGATGTCATCTCATACCAATCAGAACAGCTGTTATGAAACAGCCAACAGATAACAGATGTTAGACAGGATGTGGAGAAAAGGAAATACATATACACCATTGGTAGAAGTATAAATTAGTTTATGAGCATTTCTCAAATAACTAAAATGAGGTCTTCTCTTTGATCCAGCAATCCCACCACTATGTATATACATAAAGGAAAAGAAATCATTTTATGAAAAAGATACCTGTACTTATTTATTGAGCACGATTCACAATAGTAAAGTCATGGAATTGACCTAAGTGTCCATCAAAAGCTGATTGAAAAAAAATGTGGTAAATATACACTGTGGAATACTATATGGCCATAAAATGTAATGAAATTGCATCCTTTGCAACAACATGGATGGAGCTAGAAGCCATTATCCTAAGTGATATGAAGCCAAATGTCACATGTTCTCACTTATAAGTGAAGTACACATGGACATAAAGATGAAAATAATACATACTGTACTCCAAAAGGTGGGGGCTGGGGAGAAGCACATGTTGAAAAATTACCTACTTGGTACAATGTTCACTATATAGGTTCATTAAAAGCCCCAAAGTCACAATTATGCATTATACTCTTGTTAACAAACCTGGACATATACCTTTTGAATCTAACAGAAAAGGGGAAAAAGATGACATCAGTGTTGTGTGTGCTCCAGCGAGCATAAAGAAAATTACAGGCTATAGCTACATCATATAGAGTCAATAAGTTGGCAAATTATTCACATGATATCCAGAATATCTGACAGATAGCTACAATGGTGAAAAAAGTCTGCAACATTTAAGACATTCTATAATGCATGGTACATTTTAAGTTGGGGGCAATGAAGAACAAAGGAACAAGAAGAAAAATGAATGATCATACATGTGTAAACTGTCAAATAATTAGGATAAAGCATGTGAATTAAAAAACAGAATTAATAATTTGAAAGTGTCTTTTTTCTCTTTATGGAAAACGAAAGTTATGCTTCTCTGGTTTTTGATAAGAATAAACATACAATGAAGTCAATTTTTAAAAGGAGTAATGCAGAATGAAAATCCATAAAACTACAAAAAAAGTCACATAATTGTATACTAAAAAACAAAAACAACAAACAAGCAAAAACAACAAAAAAAAAACACTGATCCCAGAGCAATGGCATAAGAAGCCATCCTTCTGTGGAATTCCTCAACATAGCTAGTTAGTAGGTATATAGGGAGTAATTTTCCCTTCTAAAATGTACATATCATTTAGATTTATTAATTAAAACTACTGAAGAACTTGTATTTGAGCTATTCTAATGCAAACGTTTATGTAAAGCTATGTATTTGAGCTATTCTAATGCAAACGTTTATGTCATTCCATTCTTGCATTTACACATGGGATCAAATAAATGAAATTCCCCAATTCCCAACTGTGTCTCAAAAAGTCACCGACTGCTGGAAAACAACAGATATTCTCTCCTGGAAATGAATCAGAAGGCAGACCATCATTCAGTAGCCAGCATATGATTCAGCAGAGCTTTGTATAAAAGTATAAAGTTCAAAAACAACCCCAAAAAAGCTCGGGAAGTAGTGGACTGTTTTTACCCCTCCTGGAATCACCACTGACAGCATCCATGAAGTTCTGACAGAAGAACACGCCAAGATGACAAAGTAGTGTCTTTTAAAGAGCAGCCAACAACAAGCACATAGGGAATCTTTCAACAAATACAGGTAGGAGAAATTCAAACGTGTGACAATAGGTTTTTGTAACCAATAATGTGATTAGATGAAAAACAGGCATAAACATTGGCTGTGACTATTTAAATAATTTCTCTGAAGAGAGAAAATTTATTTAAAGAAAATATGATACTTTCTTCTGTGTCTCATAAGATTGCTATGTTTTTATTTTCTTGTCTTCACTAAGCAAAGGTTAAGTAAAAAGCAAATCATCTATAAACTTAATACTTTTTTTTTTTCTGGATTTGAAGAGAAGCTTGGGTAGGTGATTTAAACAGGGGAGGAAAGCAGCCATGTAGATGCACAGGACTAACAAGAAAGCTATTGTTTGAAATGCCATGTATCTTCACTGAGGTAGCACGCTAAACTACTCCCAGATCTGTACTCACTTACAATACTAAACATCTCCCAACAATGAGAGATAAGCAGTATTGTCAACTGCAGATTTATTTGTAATAAAAACTGTAGTAATTTGAACTCATTATATTAATAGCTATTGAAACTAGAAAGTTCTTACAAATTCAGAGAAATTGACTTTTTGAGAGCTCAAGCTGCCGATACGTTAATGCTTTTCTTTTTAAAAAGGGGAAATGTCAAATGATTAGAAGAAAAAATTGGAGAGAGAAGTACTAAAAGATTTAATTGGAAAATATGCTGTTCATTTTTTTGGATATTCCTGTAATATGTGTGAGACATTTTGTTTCTGTACTTTAATGATATTATAACTAGTCTAAAAGATGTACAACACAGAACTGAGAGGCTTTCAGAAAGATCCCGAGTAGGTGAGTCAGGTCAGCTGGGTGGTCTTATTATCAGTTTTTGATTTCTCCATTAGAGTCTGTTTGAACTAAAGTGCCTTTCATCTTTCCACCCACTCTCACCATTTTGGCCTTCTAATTTAGTGCAAGTCTTTTTATTCTGTTTTGTTAAAAAACGAGCCCAAATTTGAGGAAGGCAGGGAGACTCCCTCTCTTGTGGTTTCATGTAATTTTTTGTTATGGTCTACTGGAAAAGAATAACTTTAAAAAATGCAATTTCACATACACTTGATCCCCCCATTGGACTCAAATCTCTTCAACAATTCATGTTAATATTTTTTGAATTTAAAAAACTATTTAGTTTTAAGACTTCATTGGTTTTTGGCAGGCAGCTTTTTCAACATAGTTTCAACTCTTTGAACCTGTCCCCACAGCTCTTTTCCCACTGCCTGACCTTTCAAAGACAGCAGTGGCCAAATACAGCAGTGGCCATAATGAGGTGGAAATCCATACAGTTACTTGTCTAGGTTTCCACTAACCAAGTTATGCTGATAACTGACTGGTACCACACAATCTGACATTTTTACAGAAACTCAGAGCATTGTAATTAACTCAAGAGATATGGGGTGAATCCTCATTTTTAAACCAAATCAATAATAAAAACATGATTTAGAGGGAAAAGGGGCAAATATCTAGGATACATGTATTCCCAAAGGTTAGTTTTGTTTTGTTTTCCATATTCTCATTACCAAATAATCCATGTAATTGCACCCAAGACCTGGTCTCCCCTCCGTGTCTATTTGGTGGAAGGGAGGCTATGCTATGAAGTGAACACACTTAGTTGCCTAAGAGAAAAAAAAATCCAAATAAACAAGCTATGATGAGGAAAATGCAGCAGGCCTTCTTGCCAGGGAGTGAGTGCCTGGTCAATGAACAAGGGACTAGTTACACAAACTGGGGTCCCAAGGAGAACAAAAGGGATTGTGGCAAGAGTTATGATGTAATGGGGCCGTGGAGTGGCCTGGTTAGAGGACGTGAAGCACAAAGTTATTGTTATCTGATCTCTACTTTCTTCATAGATACCTTGGATACTCTTAAGTGTACTTCTTATTCAAAATATGCTGAAATTTAAAAGGAAATATTATGAAAGTACAGTAAGAATATCTGCAGTGTCATTCCATCTGACTTCCCTCCTCTATCTCTACATGACCATAGTGATCTTTCAAGGCAACTCCAAATTACCATTGCCTCCATGAAGACTTCCTTATGCCTTTTTTCATACATCTGCAATTAGCACATGGAATCAGACTCCTCTTCCCTTACTTTGCTGATGTCTTCTTTAAGACACATTCCTTTTTCACTGATGTGCAGAATATTGAGAGGTAAATACATATGTGATTTGGGATTGACTCAAAGTCATTTTAAATTGTTTAGATTGTTTGCTTTAGTCAAACTTTTTAAACTGGATTTAGTATGTATTACATGATATTCTCAAAATGTGATTTTAGGCCATATTAATTCATGGTCCTCCAGGGGAACCAGAAAGTAGCCACTGAATTCCAAAAGAGGTATTTGTGTTGGCGAGTGACAAAAACTAAAAAATGAAAACCACTACTACAAAGTGCTAAATGAACTGGTCGTTCATAAAAAGAAAGATTATTATTCTTCTCAGATTATCCCAGATATCTAGAGCAGTTTGGAGACATTAGGAAACTATATAACCTGTAAACATCATGTTAGTTGTCTAACAATACTTATAAGCTCTAAAGCCATGCTAACTATTTATACCCTTAACTAATCAAAATGTAGAAATATTTCAATGCCATTATCATACTCAGCCACATATTTTGCCATTGAAAGTAACGGTAAAAACTGTAATTACTTTTGTACCATCCTAATATAAAGTCTGTATACTCCCTGTCAAACCAAAGTTCTACTCTATCAGCCTCATTTCAAATAAGCACAAGGAGTAAAAGCAAAACAGAAAGAACAATGTGTTTGTATAGGGTTGTTTATGGTTTTGGATTTTTTTTAAAAATCCTAAATGATGTTTTTAAATTTTTATCTTATGAAGAAAAATGATATCTTATTAAAACAAATTATTGTTTTCACTCATCTACAAGGCATCACAGGCAAGTCAAAGAATGTAACAAGATGCCTCTGCTAAGAGAAATATCTTCTAATTATTAATCTTGAGGCATAAACAAGTTAAACAGTGCTTTGTTTTTAGTTTGATGAGTAAAATAACATAGGACAAATAAGAAATTATTTAATTCCATCATCAAAGCCATCCAAATATTTCCCAGGGAGAAGCTCTTCCTTTCATAATTAAATTAACCTGTAAGTCTACCAAATAAACACCATGAACACCATGAACAGTGTACTTTCAAACTGTTTTAAACACCACCTCACTGTTCTAGCATTTTTTAAAAAACCAAATACAAAGTTTTGTTTATTTATTTTTTCATCAGCATTTGTTGGAAGACCTAAAATAAGGTTAACATAAAAATTCCAGAGCAGGAACATAATCACCTGTAGCAAGGAATATAATGTGTTTGGGTGAATCTGTTGTCTGAGGCCAGGTAAGAAAACAAGTCATAACCATGTCTCCTTCTGAGGGGAAACTGGATGACCATGGACAGTGCTAGGATATGGGAATAGAAAGAAATCCAGGCCTCAGTGACAGCATCTTTTAATCTAGACAAAATATAACTATTTTTAAATTTCACACATTTTAATTAAGTGTTAACACCATAAATAACCACAAGTAAAATCAATAGACTTTTATCACTATTCTGAGGGGGCAAAAGCACACTACAAATCAATGTTGATTTGAGAATCATGTTTTAACATCTTTTTGGTCAATCACTTCAATTAGCACATCACCAAAATAAGTCTAGAAATATTCCCCTTAGGCATGTATTGTACATTCTATTTTCAAAAATAAACCATGCATTTTCCAAATGCAACACATATAGCTTTACATGGCAATACTTGAAAAGTCTTTTGGCATGTAGTAAGACTTATTCTTCCCCTTGATGCTTAATTTGCCAAATTGCATTTCTGTACATATATCTTCAACAAAATCCACAGAGAAGGTAAGAAACAATACTTCAAGGTCAAAACTTTACAAAACTTAGCCCCACAGGACTATTCATGTCATTGCATAAAACATAAAAATGAATATGACTAAACGTGTTAGAAAGTTATTAGGCTGAACCATATGAAAATACTAACATTTGACTGTTTTTGACACCAATGGCAACTTCATATGTAACTTTTATATTCCTGAAGCCTAACTAAAAACCTTAGAGGTAACTATATTCCTGAAGTCTAACAAAGTACCTAATACAGGTACTTATGACCTTGACTCAAGGAGACTTAAATTAGAATAAAATGTTTATAACTAAAAATTTAAATGAATAAATGGCATATTATCTTCTATTATTTTGAACTCTAATGGAATAGAGACTCTATTAAACACTATGCTAAAGATAAATGAATGTATCATCTGATAACAGATATTAGATCTAAAACAGCTAAATTTGCCCTCAAGATGTTTGTGAAACTTTTAGAACTGATGTTTATGGAGAGTCTGTGTAAGAACATTACATGAAAATGTTCTGATCTTTTACGTGTCTTATATAACATATAAACAAAGCTAAAATCAGACAAGGTTGTAAGTTTTATGATTTTTAAAAATTCTTAATATTTATTAACCTTACTCAAAAATTAAATTATGTTGTATGTTTGTAGTATGTGTGAATTTGTATATATATATATATATACATATACACACACACATGTATTTGTGTGTATATATTTTTATATTCATATATCAGGGATTTTATTAAATGTTATACATTAGCCAACCTCAAGTGATTAAGATTTTACTTCTTTTCCAAAAACAAAGTAGTTCAGCCATCTAGTGGTAAAGTATAAAGCTATCACTCCTCTGTATTTTGTTATACTATAAAAAAAGATTGTCAGAATGGAAAAGGATTATGGGTTATTTAAATTTACTTTTCCTTTTCTCTGGTGACCTCATAGAGCACACTCAAGAGCTCAGAGGCACTATGAGTACAGAATATACATCACTGGACTTAGCAATCCGGAGCTTCTGGTTGACCTTATCAACAGCAATGGAATGATGCCAAGATCTGTATTAGAGTTGTAAAAGGAAACAGAAAAGTATGAAACATTCTAACCAAGAAGTATGGCTGTGAAAAGATGGAG